TATGTTTTTTGCTTTTCTTGGGTACTATACTACTTTTTGTTTGGTTTCTTATATATCTTAAAATGTTTTTGGTCACAAACCTCTCAGGGAACGAGGGGACGGCCGATCCCCCCACCCTTCCTGGAACGTGAATTTTCGGTCTTAACTAGGTTAAAAAGCTATTCACGGTAATTCGGAAGGCTTCCGGGTTCCAAACTACCCTTCCACCCCGGCGTTTAGGGCCTATTGAGGGCGTTATTATGAGCATCCGCTCGGCACGGAGTGCTCGTTAACGGTTCTGCCGGTCATGATGTTAAAAAGGAATAACACCCAGGAGCGCCATAAAAACATCTATGTAACATTCGCCCGGAAGTACATATCGACGGAAAATAAAGCTAGGTTCTAAGATGACTGGCCAGCGTCTCAACAGAGCTCTACATGCTTTTCATCGTCTCTACCAAAGCCAGTTCTTTTGGTGGTCTTTCTAACATCGGGTTGACAAAACGTTACTGTTCTCCGGCTTCGACCAGAACGCTCAAATTAACTTAATTACATGCACAATTAGTGAGATCATGGCTGGGTCTCAGTATTCCCAGACCACGAGGTCACTCCCAAAAACAGGGCTACTACTACTTATTATATTATTATTGTTTTTGTTCAGTAGATAAAAATCATCATCTCCATTGAAGATGGATCAACCCTCTGCCTTAACTCCTAGCTTCTCATCGTCAGAAAATGAATTCAGATGTTATATAAATTCAATTCAGGACATAATTGGAAGTTAAAAGTTTGTATAAAATGGTTTAAGTTCAAGTCCCGAGACCCCTCCGGATTCCTGAATCCGGGGAAATAACAACCCTATCTTCCTTCCGGAAGGCTGTTTTTCTACCCTTCGCCGTTGTTGTGAACGGCCTTGCAACGATTCTAGCGACACAATCGTTGCAAATTGGAGCGGTCTCTGCTAACTCTGCTGTTTCTTCGATTTTGATCTTCGATTTTTTCGTAGTTATCTTTTCGCAACTATTGTTGTTCTGTTTCTATTTTGCATTTCTTCCAAAATGGCCGTTTTTGACGTTTCTCAGAAGTGTGACGTCACAATTCAAATTTTTAAAATTTAAGAATTTCCAAATCCTTCGGCCTTCACGATTCATCCAATCGTCTGAATAACGCTGTTAATCCTCTAGAACAGCCAATTCGGAAGGTTAGCTGCTAATAATCCGAAATTGCATTTTGCTATTCTGGTCGAATGTCTTAAGAATCACCAGCAGACATGAAAAACTAGTAGAAGTCGTGATCAAGGATCAAAACGGTGCCGTATTCAGTAATCCAGAAGGTGTAATTGAAGGCATACAAGAGCTTGAATAAAAAACCGGACTACTGGTTGCTGATTCACTGAATAGTATAAAACCAAGGAAAAAGTGCCTGAAGGTACTGAACACGCGAACGGACGCTATAAACATATTCCATGACATTAAGAGCAATCAGTCGACTGTTGTTGTCGTTGAGCCCCTTCTTGTCACTCCTTGTACTGCTTGCCCGATCAGTCTTCTTCACTAATCCCGAGACCCTTCCTGATTGAGCGCAAATCAGCAGATCCTTTCGGATTGAGCGCAAATTAGCATTAACGTGCTTAAATACTCAAATAACCCAACAGTACAAGACTCACAAGCGGGCCACAAAAATGATCGTAACAATCCTGATTGATATAAATGCCTGTAACAACAATATATCTATCAACAACAAACGGGAGGGTCGGATCACATCTTGTCTGGGGGATGATTTCTACTGATTTTTTTTTCTACTGTTTTTGGTTTTTTCGGTTATTTTTATGCTTTTGTTTTTCTTGGGTACTATACTACTTTTTGTTTGGTTTGTTATATATCTTAAAGTGTTTTTGGTCACAAACCTCTCAGGGAACGAGGGGACGGCCGATCCCCCCACCCTTCCTGGAAATTGAATTTTTGGTCTTAACTAGGTTAAAAAACTATTCACGGTAATTCGGAAGGCTTCCGGGTTCCAAACTACCCTTCCGCCCGGCGTTTAGGGCCTATTAAGGGCGTTATTATGAGCATCCGCTCGGGGCGGAGTGCTCGTTAACGGTTCTGCCGGTCATGATGTTAAAAAGGAATAACACCAAGGAGCGCCGTAAAAACATCTATGTAACATTCGCCCGGAAGTTTATATCGACGGAAAATAAAGCTAGGTTCTAAGATGACTGGTCAACGTCTAAACATAGCTCTACATGCTTTTTATCGTCTCTACCAAAGCCAGTTCTTTTGGTGGTCTTTCTAACATCGGGTTGACAAAACGTTACTGTTCTCCGGCTTCGACCAGAACGCTCAAATTAACTTAATTACATGCACAATTAGTGAGATCATGGCTGGGTCTCAGTATTCCCAGACCACGAGGTCACTCCCAAAAACAGGGCTACTACTACTTATTATATTATTATTGTTTTTGTTCAGTAGATAAAAATCATCATCTCCATTGAAGATGGATCAACCCTCTGCCTTAACTCCTAGCTTCTCATCGTCAGAAAATGAATTCAGATGTTATATAAATTCAATTCAGGACATAATCGGGAAGTTAAAAGTTTGTATAAAATGGTTTAAGTTCAAGTCCCGAGACCCCTCCGGATTCCTGAATCCGGGGAAATAACAACCCTATCTTCCTTCCGGAAGGCTGTTTTTCTACCCTTCGCCGTTGTTGTGAACGGCCTTGCAACGATTCTAGCGACACAATCGTTGCAAATTGGAGCGGTCTCTGCTAACTCTGCTGTTTCTTCGATTTTGATCTTCGATTTTTTCGTAGTTATCTTTTCGCAACTATTGTTGTTCTGTTTCTATTTTGCATTTCTTCCAAAATGGCCGTTTTTGACGTTTCTCAGAAGTGTGACGTCACAATTCGAATTTTTAAAATTTAAGAATTTCCAAATCCTTCGGCCTTCACGATTCATCCAATCATCTGAATAACGCTGTTAATCCTCTAGAACAGCCAATTCGGAAGGTTAGCTGCTAATAATCCGAAATTGCATTTTGCTATTCTGGTCGAATGTCTTAAGAATCACCAGCAGACATGAAAAACTAGTAGAAGTCGTGATCAAGGATCAAAACGGTGCCGTCTTCAGTAATCCAGAAGGTGTAATCGATGGCATACAAGAATTTGAATAAAAAACCGGACTACTGGTTGCTGATTCACTGGTTAGTGTAAAACCAATGAAAAAAGTGCCTGAAGGTTTTGAACATGCGAACGGAAGCTATAAACATATTCCATGACATTAAGAGCAATCAGTCGACTGTTGTTGTCGTTGAGCCCCTTCTTGTCACTCCTTGTACTGCTTGCCCGATCAGTCTTCTTCACTAATCCCGAGACCCTTCCTGATTGAGCGCAAATCAGCAGATCCTTTCGGATTGAGCGCAAATTAGCATTAACGTGCTTAAATACTCAAATAACCCAACAGTACAAGACTCACAAGCGGGCCACAAAAATGATCGTAACAATCCTGATTGATATAAATGCCTGTAACAACAATATATCTATCAACAACAAACGGGAGGGTCGGATCACATCTTGTCTGGGGGATGATTTCTGGGCTGCTCCTACACATACCCATGTGGACAACCGCTTACACTGACCCACTCTCTAGATTACCCCAAAGGTGTGTGTATTCACTCACCTAAGACCTAATGAAATCCTGGACAAAACAAGCCATGATGATGAGATAGAGCCGAAATTTCAATCGTTGGAAGGCGAAAGCTTTCACAAAAAAACAACCACTACTGAAGATGACAATCGATAAATTAATTTTCAACCATCTTGCTAAATTCTGTCCTAAAACTATATCTGAAGCCCACAAACACCCATGAGAGGGTTAAAACATTAAAATACCAACTAAGAATTCTGGATTTGGAACACTGCAACTTCTGAATAAATTGGAGGAAATGCACCAGGCTCTACAAAAACCGTCCAGAAACTAGCAGAGAAACTAAGCGAAAATTGGATCGAATCATACTCCGACACAATAAACTCTGTAAGAACGAAAATAAGTTTTGCTCTTAAAAGTACATACAACGTAGACAATTCCAGTGCTATAATCTAGGAGGGTAGATTTTAATTAACAATTCTTAGAATTCTATAAAATAGACTCAATTTATTTGCCTATGTATTTATTTAGCGTTGGTATGGCCCTATCCATCCTGTGCTTAGACCGTCGCATGACGGAAGGGCTTGGACCGTCGGATGACGGAACTCCACTTCGCATCTGTGTAACATTCTGTCAATACGTTTGATACTAAACGAAAATTGCATGACTTACACCTGCATCTTGAGATTTGCTATCATTTTGAATTAAATTGATCATATTTTTGCCTTAGGGGGTGCAAAAATCTTAAAAATACATCCAACATGGACAATTCTATCTGTGCTAATATCGAGGAGGGTAGATTTTAATTGACAATTCTCTTGATGCATTAATATCGACTTGATTTATTTATAAAATTTTGCAGATATATTTATATAGCATTGGTACGGCCCTATCCAACCCTTTCACGTACCGTCGCATGACGGAAGGGCCCATTTTAATTGACCCCCATAAAAAAAATTTGAATTTAACTGCTGAGGATGTACAGGTTGGTCACAAGCGTTTCTGGTTGACGTTTTACACCTGTTTTTTCAATTGTCGTAGTTATAGATTTTGGTTTTATATGTAATTTGCTTTTTCATTTTTTCTCTGACGCAAAATAACTTTCGACGAAATTTTTTATTTGTAACACTTGTATTTTATATTTTCTCGTGTCGAGTTGCGTGTTCTTATTGAAGAAACGTAACCCGTTTCGATTTTAATTTAAAAAGGACTTAAACACTTGTCATCTTCTTTTATCATTATCACTTCCATATCTAGAAAATTCCAAGGATTTTGGCTGGAATACGTGATGAAGGGACTCCTGACTGTAACCTCGGTTACTATGATACTTTTGACCTTCTGATTACCAGGAAAAAAAATACAGATCGTCTCATTTGAGGTTAATGTTACCAAAAACTTTGGCCTGTCGATCTTTCATGGCTACTGACTGCTACAATTCGTCGTGGAGGGAGTGAGAATGGGCAACAAGCATGCTCGAGCAAAAAATGCTTCATTCAATCAGCTGGCTGGTGATCTAATGTGTCCCATTTGCTTCGATGAACACGATATAAGAGGACTTCCCTGTGGACATTTCTTTTGCCATGAATGTCTCTTTGTTATTTATCAAAGGTATAAGAAAAATAAAATGTCAATTTTTTCTGATCTATATTAAATCATTGTCTATTAAAAAGCAAATATTAAATATTGCAATAAGCACCACTATTGTCTTGCCTTTTCTTGATTAGAGAGAGAGAGAGAGAGAGAGAGTTTAGGCTTCTGTGCTTTACACAGGGGTTTGCACCCATCACTTCGCGGCTGAGCTGACATTCTGCACCGGGTTGCAATGTTCACAGTTGCATATAAAAGCCCAGGAACAAAGTTGACTTCAGAATAATCTTTGTAGAAGTAATTTCAGTATAATTTTGTTAGGTATGGTTTGTCAATGTGCTCGAGGTCGATATTTCCTTTTTGTATTGTATTCAATAATTGACTGGTTCTTTCCCAGAAATTTTCGTCAGCCTTTCTTGTTCGAGTTTTGTTATCGATGTTAGATCTTTTTGTCTTGTTAATAAAAGAAAGACAAAGCTACTTGTTAATTAGTGTCGAGGATAATTCAAAGGTTTGTTTTTTGTTTGTTTGTTAGCCCAGTTTTGGCTAGTCGATTTCCAGGTAAAGGAACTTCACGGCATCCACTAGAACAAGTCACAGGTCTGCGACTTTGAGTAGTGATGAGTTAAGGGACAAATTGAACAAGTGGCAATGGGCAGGTGGTGCAATGGAACAAGTTGGGGATAGAGGTTAACGGATCTGTCTAGGCGGGAGAGGTAGGTGTTTAGAAGCTAGACCGGAATCAAGAGTGAATACAGAGTAATCCCTGGGAAGATATTATTCTGAAGAGGCAATTTTAGTGGGAGAGATACAGATAATTTTACAGTGAGAGGTTTTGGAAATGAACTTGGTTACCTGCGTAGTGTTGTTCAGTTTTAGAGGGGGTTTAAAGTAGTTAAAAACAAAGGTAGAACTTTGTTCTCAGTTAAGTAACTGTAGAAGAGGGTTTTTGTTGACCAAATTATTGAAAAATGGTTTGATAGTATATTCTTTGTTGGATGGTCTTCTTTAACGAGGGCGAGTGAGGTGAGTGTAAAAAAAGTTTGTTGGGAACGGAAGGCGGAGATTTAAAAATGGGAAGTTAAAAAAGTGGTACTTTACATAGAAACGCTACTTCACTGTGCAATTGGGCAATTATACTCGTGAGTGTAAAGCCAGTGATAGCACGGACAAAACTTGACTTGGGTTAAATGCTGGTGATTTTTTGAGTGTTTCTTAAGGCGAGGGAACAGGCAGTGCAGTGTAATCGAGAAGGGTCTGTTTAGGGTTTCGTAAGCAGTGAGGAGGATTCCTTTTATATAACCCTAAGTTGAACCGGCGTAGGCCTTCAGGACTTATATCCTGCGACAGTTTTTCAGCGGACTGTTTGCAGTAAGTGGCAAAACTAAGAGTCGGGTCAAATTTAACGCCTAATTGTTTCATTTGGGGGTCTCATTGTTCTAAAATAGAATAGGCACTGTTTTAAAGTTACGATCCTTTAGAGGAGGCTTGAATTACGAAAAGTAAACAAATCATAAAGGTGGTCCAGGTCACCGTTGAGAGTGATTGACGCTTTCTCAATATCAAGAGCTTTAGGAAATAGGATGGAAGTCATGGGCATCATGAACATATATTTTTAAAAGGGTGTACGATGAAACCGAGCCCTGGGGTACTCAATTGGACTGTTTTTTCTATAGCGGGTTGGTTTTTCACGAAAACATGTAGATAATTTATAATTTGAATGTTTGCTCAGCCAGCGGACTAGGCCTCCAGGGATTAGTGCCAGGAACAGATTCCAAGAGTGATGATTTACCATATGGCTTACCAGATGGATGTTCTGATTAAAATCGTCTCTGACATATAATTTGAGGGTCCACAGTGCAGAATTGGTAGTGAAAACGTCGAAAAGTGTGTTGATGCTTGGCATTCGGGAGATTTTTTGTAGAAAGGGATGAATTAATAGCGATATGTTTCTGCGTGATGTAGAAATGTTAGTCTGTATCTGGTTTGGGTAAGAGGGTAATGTTTCCACAGCATATTAAAAAGAAAAGTCAAACACTTCAAAGCTGGGGGTCCAAAATGCTGTAATTGTCATTGCATTTGGATATGGCAAATATCCAATAAATTGGGTTTAGATCGAAATTTCGGGAAAAACGTGGACAGGCGACTAGAGCTGTCCAAATTAATTTTAATTCCTCCCTTTAAGAGATGAAATTTGGTAAAAAATTCTTAGTTTCCCTGTAATATAAAAAAGATTAGAAGGCACACACGATGAGAGTAGAAGCAGACCATTTAGAATTCAAACTTAGACTTTATGTGCAAAGAAGAGAAAAAGCAAAAAATAAAAGTTTATTATATTTGTCATGTGGTGTTTTTGCTTTAGACATGGTATTGTGACATGTCCTTTCGATAGATTGACCGCAGACAAACTTCCGATTGATTTGCCCACCATCCAGGACTTGAAATTGAACAAAATAGATTTTATACTGTACCAAGAGCTGCTGCGCTTCCCACATTACAAAAAGTAAGTAAAGATTTTAAAAAAAACTGCGTACTGTATCTGCCATGCATGAAATCTGCGTGACTGAAATGTTCCAAAAAAGATGTTCATTGAAAATTGATTTAATATACGAGAAGAGTATCGCGAGAAAATATAGAACTTCAAGCAGTCTAATTTTGATGTAATTTGATTGGATAAACTGAAAAGTTGAGTTTGAACTAAAATCAGTCCTTTTCTGTCACAGGAGGTTTTTCAACGACTTGATGGTTAAGTTGAACTGACTAATGTGATGTTTCTGTTTTCAAACTAGCTGGATTTCGCATGAAGTGCAACAAAACCAGCGGTCTATTAAGTAAACTTAAGTGGATTAGTTGATAATACCGACAATCCTTCAAACTGTCATATAATTTAAGTTTTAAAATCAATCCAAAAACGGTTTAAAGACAATAGTTTGAATATAATTGGGTATTACCAACTATTCTCCAGCAAATTATGTAGATGTTTCACGCAATGGAATGAGCTTAAGTTTCTGTGTTCTTCAGTTGCATTATGGTTGCTTTAGTTGATTAGTTATCTATTGGCGTTTAGCTCTGTTTCAAAATATGTCCAGAAAACTTCTGAATTTCAATCATGACATATGGCATTGGGTTCGGTGTTCGATTTTTTTGAATATATGATAAAATTAAATTCGGCCTTGTTCCTAATGTGAATAATGTATGTGCACATATCTTAAGTTCATATCACTTATGCATGAATTGTCAAAGATATGGAAGAACCCCTTCGATTAAATTTTTTCATGCTTAGGAGGAAACCGAATTTCAAAGCAAATCTGTCGTCATCACTCGACTGTCGCTGGACTACAATTCGGATTCTGAAGGATATCGCCACTCTGGTCGACAGTGTGGAACTCACTGGATCCAAGGTCCAAGTGGGAAGTCTCACGGCATGTGTCGTTGGAGGAGTGGCCGTGACACTGGGACTAGGTGCCAGTATAACCGGAATCGGGGCCAGTTTCGGAATTCCGCTTATCGTAGGGGGAACTACAATTGGAGGCGGCGGCGCTATTGGTAAATTTTCATTATTATCTTTGCGATAAGCAACGGTTTTGCGACCTGGTACTAGACTTTTTTCCGTAAATAATTTCGTTCACGGTATCTCCAAATAAATCGAACCTCACCTCCTCGCGGTGTCCCGCGGGCAACGTACTGGTTCCGTCAAGAATCTTTGCGGCTAACGAGGCTCTCGCTCTAGGAGTGGCGACCCAAGTAGTATTTTAGCTGCGTATCCAAATTCCAGATCACTTCAGGTGTCCGCCAGGGCTCCGTGTTATCGCCTCTACTGTTCATCATGGTGATAGACTGGATCATGAAAAACGCACTAGCCGATAAAAACTTTGGCCTCGAACTAGACAACGCGACAGCTACAGACCTCGATTTCGCAGATGATATCTGTCTACCAGAAGATGACAAAGACAAAGCCCAAGAGCTGCTCACCCGTGTATCAGAAAGTACCTCGAAAACTGGCCTAGTCATTAACGTGAAGAAGACAAAAGCCATCAGCACCAATGACAACATTAATCTGATCCATAACAACGAGCGAGTTGAAGTTGTTCAAAGCTTCTGCTATTTAGGAAGCACAATGACCATTGACAACAGAACTGAACCCGAAGTTCGTAGTCGTATCGGCAAAGCCACTGGAGTCTGGAAAAACCTCCAGAACATTTGGGCATCAAGAGAGATTCCAAACGCAATCAAACGAAGACTATATGACGCCTGCATAATGAGCACCCTCTTGTACGATTGAATCATGGCCTCTGACATACACCGAACTCGGCAAACTCAAGAGCTTCGACCGTCGGTGCAGACCATTTTACACAAACCAAGCATCCGAGCCACTAGCCACAGTAATCCAGAGACGACGCCTGAGATGGGTTGGCCACGTCCTTTGCATGCCACCTGATAGATTCCCGAAAGCTTGAAAACTTCTGGAGGAGACAAGTCGCAAAAGAACTGGAACCGCTCCTAAAACCCTATCGTTGCCCAAAGAAGAAATGGGAGGATACGTGGATAGAGATTTGTCAAGAAACTGCTGAAAACCGCAAACAGTGGAGAGCTGTTGTACGCGACTTAACCATGGCGGATAAAAGGCAGCAATGCCTGCAAACGTCCTAAGAAGAAGAAGAAGAATCTCCAAATTTAGTCCAATCTGTACTTTGTACTTTCGTCACTGAAAATGCTTATTTTGAGCATGTCTGCATTTTAAATTTCCGTCGTATTCGAAAATTGGCTTATGTTGGCTGTAAATTCGTCACCTCCGATGTGTTGAACTTTTTTTTCCATATCTGTTTTTTTTACTCAATTGGCTTCGCTTATTTCACTTGCTAGAGCAAGTGACTTGTAATCGGGAACTAGGTTTTGACCGTAAGCAACTCTTCTCATCTGCTTTGAGCACGTGAAAGCTATTCGTGCAGTTACTACAGTAACTGTCACGTGCAGGCTGACATGCTCAATTTCTTGAAAATTCAAATAAAACTACCGTTCAGTACATTTTAGAAACTACTTATTTTTACGCAATATGTATATTGGAAAATGTTAATATTTTTTTCGGATTTGTGCTTTTCATATTATTTTCTGTCAACTTATTTGCCGTTCTTCCAATGCAATCTATGTTTTTTGTACGCGACTGTAATGCAACGCAAGTGTTGTGAAGCTCCGCTTCGCCTCTGTGTATTATATCGGCTTTGTGCCCTCACTTTTCATCATATGAGCGAATAATTTTCTGAAGTGGTTGTTTTGAAGGAAAGCTTGTTTTTTTTTGAGTTCATGTTTTTTTATGTAAACATTTTTTTCAGCTCAATTCAGGTTCTGTTCAAGTATTGTCGGCTTTGTGACCGCTTCGTAAATATTTGTTGCGATTCTTATTTAAGGTACAATTGTCTTAGTTGACATGGTTTTCTCAAAATGAATTTCATTCAGGACAAATTTCGTCAAAAATTATGACGGATCTAGTATTTCCGACTTTTTTTTCCATATTTTATAGCGGTTTTCTTCGTTCCAGTTTATGTGAATTTTATCATGCGATGTTTGTATTGTATCGCATGTGGTGGAAAGCTTGGCTCTGTATGTTTTTTAAATGTCTGACATCATAACTTAATCACACGGGAAGCTAAAATGTTAGATGACGTACATATGAAAACGGAAATTATGCATGCAATGGAGGCGGAGTGTAAAAATAAATGATAATCTCAAGATACGATTCGCATGGTAAAAATATCGAATATTTATATGATTCCAAAAGCATCTACAATTTCATTTGGGGCCAGATACTTTTTCCTGTGTTCTGATCCAACTGATGAGTTACAAGGTGCTGAATACGCTTTTGTTAATTCCTTTTTGCCTGAAACTTGAAGATATTCATGGATTATCGATGTAAGTTTAAATCTTTGTTTGAAGGTTCCTTGGCAACTAATGTGGTTGAATATATATCGCGGAAAAGAAATTTGAAGAGAATCAACATGCGACTTCAATTAGACAACTTTCTATCCGAGCAACTGCTTACGATGGCCAACAGAGCGAAACAAGACCACACAATTGCAACTGCATGGGATCTCAGTTTCCTGAATGCATTAGGCTTCGCGTGCGTTCTGCCAAATGTGGCCAAAATTGGAGTGACGTCACTCGCTGGTGTGAGAACAGTAGCGGTGGTAGGATCAGGAGTTGCAAAGGCGTCGTTAGCTGGGGTTGGAATTGTCTTTTCGGCCGCAATGATTCCAATTGATATTGTGCAGCTTGTTCACAACACATTAAAAGTGCACTCGAAAACGCCATCGAAGCTAGTAGATGAAATAAGGTCAAAATCAATGAGCAATTTCATAAGTTTTAAGAAACAGCAGTAATGTCCTTTAAATGTACACGCAAACTACTTTGCTGTAAGTGCTGAGTAACAATCAACGTGAAAAAAATTCCGAGTGCCTGAAAACTTTGAAAAAAGTCATCTCAGACATTGACCATCAAATGTGCAAGCTTGTGTTCAGATTAAATCCAGGCTTTCTTTTTACCCAACCTGGGCTTGTGTTACGATAGAGTCCATTTTTACGTTTTTCAATGAAAGTACTTTTTGAGTTAAGTTACCATGTTGAGCTTCTGCGCTCAACAGTTTTATTGTTCCGGGTGTTTTAGTTTTTTGTTTTCAAATTAGGTTTGCAAATTTAGGTACCAATAAAACTAGTCCGAAGGGGTCGAGTGATGTATCACACTAAAGCGTTTGCAATCGTGATTGTGACCCTGTTAAGAAAATTCAAAAAAAAAGTCCTTTCTGAGAAAAACGGGCTTCCAATTCCTGATCTAATTTTGAGCGAATAAAGCGAGAGAGAAAGCCGACAATAAGGAAATAAGGCGTAAAACTGTTTTACTGTTTGTACTTGAAGCGCCGAATAGTGTTTTTAAGCTTCATTCAGCGCCGTATTGACAAAAAAAATCCTGAAAAACCACGAAAAAATGTTTTGATTTCTTGTTTTTCGATGAACTTTTTGATAAAAACGGTGGTCAAATATGCTTATTGTTCCTTACTATGGAATGTATTTTTTCTAGACTTTCGTTCACATCCGCTCATTAGCCCAACGAACAAAAAACGTCACAGTTTGCAAACTGGCTATCCTTGTGTTGTCTACGCTCATATCCGCTCACTTTTTGAAAAACATTGAGTCAGAAACCTTTATTGAAGATAATGCAAATTACATCAAGAAAGGGGTTTTTTTTGGAAATAATTTTTTGAGAGCGTTTCGTGAACCCTAAGTGACCGGCTGTTTAGGAAAAACCAACCCGGCCGGTATCCCTTCAATGTATCCGCTTCTGTAGAGGGAAGTCATTGCTTTCTGTCAAATATTAAGTGGAATTTGTAGGATAGCAATGCAGGATGGTGCAGTGTTCAATGCAGCTACCCCTAAATTCAAATGCAGCAGTGATCTTTTTTAGTAGTGTTTTTCAAGGTTCAGTTTCGGATTTTTAAGTGCTCTTTATGAAAACGGCATGTAATTTAATTGTTTCGTACACAGAGCGCAAGTCTCTTCACTTACGAGAGCTAGTAAACTTGTTATAATAGTATACCGAACAGCTTTTTTGGTGAGCAAGTTTCATCCCTAGGATTATAAAGTTTGGGAAGGAACTTTGTTTTAGTGTGTGCACCACCAAGAATTATCATAGATTTTCAAAAGATGTATCGGTACTTTTCCGATTAGCAAACGTTATCAAATTGCAACCGATTATTTTTTAAGGTTAACAACTAGCTTAACAAAATCACTGAATCATTTCGCCAGGCATATCTCATCAACAGGCATATCTCATCAACAGATATATTTTAAGCTTGTCGTTTTTTTGTGGTTTGGCTTTCGCGATGTCTTTTCAGTTCAGTTTGTTTCTTGTTAAAAGCAAAGAAAACCCTCTATCGAACAGCAAAAAGGTGAGGGTCACGAAGAACATTATCGACTTCTAATTTTGAAAATGCCATTTACTTTTCAGGTTTCCCAGCGGATAAAAATTTTACCTGTTGATACAGTTTTCTCAAATTGACAAGCTGATTTTGCAAATGTCACCGTTTTTTAGAAACTGGTTAATCTTTTGGCAGGTATCGCTTTTTGTGGTTTTCGACGCAGATTATTTCACTCCTAGGTTAACTGAGAATGTATTTAAATGCGGGCTTCACTATTTCGCCATGTTTAAGCTTTTTCAACGTATTATTTTTGCATGTTTAAGCTATATCGTATATTGCAATGGTTAAGAATTTTTTTTTCGATTTTCTAATTTGATTTTAGTGGTTATTTTACCGAGTTTAAATTAAGCAGCCCAATATCGAATTAGGGGTTGCGAATTTGGCCTCCAATTTTGAATGCCCGAATCATTTTAGTTAACGAGATAAGACAATTTTTGAGATTTTTTCAAAAATTTTCAGAAATTTCAAATAAAATAATTTACAAAACTTGAAGTTCCCAACCCTGTAGTTGGGTGCTGTCAGAGTACTCTAAGGGATTACAAACCTTGCCTCCAAATATGACTGTTCAAATCCTTGTAGTTTTCGAGATATGACGTTTTTTGTGATTTTTTCAAAAATTTTCAGAAAACTTAAATTCTTATTTGTTTTTTAAAAATCTAAAATTCCCAACCCTGTAGTTAGGTCCTGTCAGAGTACTCTCAAAGATTGAGAATCTTGTCTCCAAATATGACTGTTCAAATCCTTGTAGTTTTCGAGATATGACGTTTTTTGTGATTTTTTCAAAAATTTTCAGAAAACTTAAATTCTTATTTGTTTTTTAAAAATCTGAAATTCCTAGCCCTCTAATTAGATCCTGTCAGAGTACTCTCAAAGATTTCGAATCTTGCCTCCAAGTATGACTGCTCAATTCTTTGTAGTTTTCGAGATATGACGTTTTTTGTGATTTTTTCAAAAATTTTCAGAAAACTAATATGATTATTTTTTAAAAATCTAAAATTCCCAACCTTGTAGTTAGCTCCTGTCAGAGGACTCTCAAAGATTGCGAATCTTGCCTTCAAGTATGACTGCTCAAATCTTATTAGTTCCCGAGATATGACGTTTTTTGTTATTTTTTCAAAAAATTTTCAGAAAACTTATTAATTTTTTTTTCGCAAATTCTGAAATTCCCAACCCTGTTGTTGGGTCCTGTCAGAGTAATCTCAAAGTTTGCAAATCTTGCCTCAAAATATGACTGCTCAATTCTTTGTAGTTTTCGAGATATGACGTTTTTTTTGATTTTTTCAAAAATTTTCAGAAAACTTAAAGAATTATAAGTTTTTAAAAATCTGAAATTCCCAACCTTGTAGTTAGGTCCTGTCAGGGTACTCTCAAGGATTGCGAATCTTGCCTCCAAATATGACTGCTCAATTCTTTGTAGTTTTCGAGATATGATGTTTTTTGTGATTTTTTCAAAAAGTTTTCAGAAAAATCATATTAATTTTTTTTCGCAAAATCTGAAATTACCAACCCTGTAGTTGGATGCTGTCAGAGTACTCTCAAGGATTGCGAATCTTGCCTCCAAGTATGACTGCTCAATTCTTTGTAGTTTTCGAGATATGACGTTTTTTGTGATTTTTTCAAAAATTTTCAGAAAACTAATATGATAATTTTTTTAAAATCTGAAAATCCCAATCCTGTAGTTGGGTACTTTCAAAGGACTATCAGGGATTGCGAATCTTGCCTCCAAAAATGACTCCTCAAATCCTTGTAGTTTTCGAGATATGATGTTTTTTGTGAATTTTTCAAAAATTTTCAGAAAATTTTAATTTAGTATTTCTAAAAATTTGAAATTCCCAACCATGTTGTTGGTTGCAGTCAGAGTACTCTAAGGAGTAACAAGTCTTGCCTCCAAATACGACTGTTCAAATCGTTGTAGTTTGCGAGATATGTCGTTTTTTGTGATTTTTTGAGAAATTTTCAGAAAACTTAAATTATTATTTTTAAAAAATTTGAATTTTGCAACCCTGTAGTTAGGTCCTGTCAGAGTACTCTCGAGGATTGCGAATCTTGCCTCCGATTATGACTGCTCAATTCCTTGTAGTTTTCGAGATGTGACGTTTATTCTGATTTTTTCAAATTTTTCAGAAAGTTTAAATTAATTATTTTTCAAAATTTGAAATTCCCAACGCTATAGTTCGTTGTTGTCAGGGTACTCTAAAGAGTTGCAAATCTTGCCACATGCGACTGCTAAACGCGACTGCTCAAATGCTTTTAGTTTCCGAGATGTGACGTTTTCTGATTTTTTCAAAATTTCTCAAAGAACTTATCTACAAAGAAATTCAAAAAATTTGAAACTACCAACTCGAATATACAACCTTATTGTCAGCACACACCCTGGCGTCTCAAATCTTGCCTCTTAATATGAATGCTAAAATCCTTTTAGTTTCCGAGATAAGACGTTTTTTTTTAAAAAAATTTTGGGAAACTTAGGTTTATAAAAATTCACAAAATTTTGAATTCCTAACCCTAAAGTAGGGTGCTCTCAGGGACTCTCAGTGGTGGCAAATCTGGCCTCTAAATTTCTGCAGAGGCCCATTAAATTTTCGAGATGACGCTTTTAAAATGGGAATTTAAAAAAAATTAAAAAGTTCGAAATTATCAACCCTGTAATTGGGTGCAGTCAGAGTACACTAGAAGTTTGCAGATGTTGTGTCCAATATATGCGGTTTTTCATGAGTTGTCGAAAAATTTCGAAGCACCGGAGGTGCGTTAAACGCTAGTTCCCTTCTATTTGAAATTAAAATTCAGGTTAAATTTTTTCTTTTCGCTTTTGTTAATTTTTATTTGACTGATAAGGTTTCAGGTAATTTTACAACGGATTTGTGGTCTCTAATTGCGTCGTTCAAAAGCGATAAAAAAAATTACGTTCGTGTTTGCTAGTGGCATTTGAAAACTGGCATTTGCATACGTTTTTTCGACTTACATACCTAATCATTACCCTTGCGATAAACAAGGGTATTGCAATCGGGTACGAGACTTTTTTCCCATAAGTACATTTATTCACAGGACTGACCTCTTGAATCCTGGACTCACTCAATTACTTCTTTTATTAAAAATTCAATCAACTACCTGGTGTAGATGTTACACACCTACTTGCGACGGAAAAAGCTTCTGGCTCGAATCCGGCCGGGATTCGTTGTTTTTCACAAACGTGCTCTTTTAACTATCTGTTTATTTTAGTCGACTTAACCCTCGTAGCGCATTTTTTTGGTATGCTCAGGTTTCTTCCCAGTTGTTTCAACACACATGATAAACGCCAAAGCCCGGGAGTTCGATTCCAGTCGGGATCTGTTTTTTTTCTGCAAACTACAAGTTTTTATCTC